GGTTGGAGACCTCTGGTCTATGGAGATTCTCAGCCATCCAGATCATGGTTGTCCCAAAGGAGCTTTCCCAAGAGGCAACTGGATTGTCTTGCTTTTTCATTCATTCATTCATTCTTTCATTCATTCATTCATTTTAGTTTGTCAAGCATGTATGAGAAAACAAGTATAAGTATGAACATAACATATAAACAGATGTATAAACAGGTCTAAGTCTATACATAATAAATGAGTATGAATAAATGGGAACAGCGGGACAGGGACGATAAGCACGCTGTTGCGCTTATGCACGCCCCCTTACATAGCTCTTAGGAATGGAGTGAGGTCCACAGCAGATAGTTTGAAGTTAAAGTTTTGGGGGTTTTGAGGATGTAACAACGGAATGTTTTCTCTGAAAACATTTCGCTTCTCATCCAAGAAGCTTCTTCACTTCAATTTTCTTTTTCTTTGTGCCCAGACTCCATTATTAGTGGCGGCTGCAGCCAATCAACCGAAGATCGTGAAGGACCTGATTTTGCTGGGAGCAGATGTCAATGCCATGGACCAAAAGGGGCAGACTGTGCTGCACCTTGGCGCCACCTACGGGCTGCCCAGTGTCATTGAGGTGAGGCTGGCGTATTCCACCCCAGAACAGCCTTGTGCAAAGTAGGCCCAATACAGATAGCCCTCGACTTATGACCACAATCGAGCCCACCATTTCCATTGTTAAGAGAGACATTTGTTAAGTGATTTTTGCCCTGTGGTACGACCTTCCTTGCCTCAGTTGTTCAGTGAATCCCTGCAGTTGATAGGCTATTAACCTGGTTGTTAAATGAATCTGGCTTCCCCATTGACTTGTCAGAAGGATGCAAAAGGGGAAATCACATAACTTGGGACATAACAATGGTCATAAACATGAACCGGCTGCCAAGCATCTGGATCACGGGGATGCTGCAACTATCGTAATTGTGAAAAATGGTCCTGTGATGAGCTGGGGCATGTCAAAAAAGGCAACAAAGTCAGATAATCAATAAGAGTCTCTTTATTAGCTTCAACTTTGTCCCCAATGTCCAGGTTACTTTCTTGCTTGAGAAAAACTCTCCCAGGAACAGCCTTTGGTTGCAGAGAATTAAGTCCAAAACATGGTCAACACAAACTGTAATTTTAAGTCCAATCAAGCCAAACTGAGATAATTAGCTTGGCAGTGCAAGAGCAAAAATTCCAGACTTGAAGGCATGGCAAAACTCACGCGGTTGGGAAGATGCCAGGAACACAGATAAGCAACGACAACACAAGATAAAGTCACATTTGCTCCCAACAACTGTCGCATGCAGCCTGCCTTTCTTACAAACTGCCTTCCCAGATGTGGCTAATGAATGGAATCAGGGCCCTTTCCTCCCCTGTAAGCCACGCAACCCACGTTGCTCTCTTCTCTGTTCCTCCCTACATGCCCTAGGATGAAGAAGGGTGGGCCTGGGTCTTCACCTGAACCCCCTCTTCCTTGTTCTACCTTTTCCCTGCTCTGCCCAGCCGAACTTTGCCCTTCCCCAGTTTCCTCCCCAGCCAACGGAGTCACACTTTCACTCCCTGTCAGTTGTTCATCTTCCTCCTTCTGACAGGGGCATGAAAGGTCCTAAGTCACTTTTTTCAGTGCACTTATTGTAACTAAATGAACTGTTGTAAGTCGAGGACTACCAGTACCTCTTTAGCAGACTACCTGTCTCGGTGCTCCAAGCAAAGCATCAGAGAAGCATTAAAGTGAGGTTAGTCTGCTAATCCATGCAGTTTGGGGACATGATTAGAAAACCACTGATAAGCCAGCCGAAGTAAGAGGCAGCCTTCGAATTACGACAATTGCGACCAGAATTTCCACAGTTAAGCCAGGTGGTTGTTAAGTGGGTCTTGCCCCATTTTTACGACCTTTTTTTAACCATGGTTGTTAAGCAAATCTGCTGCCATTGTTAAGTGAATCACATGGTCATTAAGCAAATCCACCCTCCCTTGATGGAAACCGGATGGCAAAGGAAAGTCACACATGACAATCACAAGATCCTGGGACATTGCAACCGTAAATATACCTTGGTTGCCAAGCACCTAAATTTTAATCATGGAACTGGATGGATGCTGCAATGCTCATCAATGCGAGGACTGGTCCTGCTAAGTCCATTATTATTATTATTATTTAGTGCTGTTGTGACTTCTGCTCGCTAAACAAATGGTTATAAGTCAAGGACTATCTGTTAAACTGGCAGGGCAATTCTAACCTGGCTAGTACAAAAGCCACTTTGCTTGATTTGGCTTATCTGTTTCAACATGGTGATTGCGTTCAGTGGTGGGATTCAATTTTTTTTTACTACCGGTTCTGTGGGCGTGGCTTGGTGGGCGTGGTGTGGATTGGTGGGCGTGGCCTGGTGGGTGTGGCAGGGGAAGGATACTGTAAAATCTCTATTCCCTCCCCACGTCTGGGGGAAGGTTAGTGCAAAAGCCCATTTCCTCCCCACCCCACTAACCTGCTTTGCAGCTCTGTTCTCCTGTGCAGGGCAACCAAAGAAGACCCAGCCAATCAGACGGGACTCGGGAGGCGGAGAATTGGTGGGGGCGGGGACAGTCAGAGGTGGTATTTGCTGGTTCTCTGAACTACTCAGAATTTCTGCTACCGGTTCTCCAGAACTGGCCAGAACCTGCTGAATACCCACCTCTGATTGGGTTGCATCTCCCTCAAAGTGACCCCCACTAAAGCTTTGCATAGCGCAACCTCCAGGAGCTCCTGATATACTGGAAGTGGGTTTCCTAGATATCCTGAGCCAGCATGGAAAAATCTCATGACTCAAACAAATCTTTTTCCAAAACACACATCAGCTTTATTATTTCCCCCACCCCCGGCTTCTTTTCTAGGCTGTCATGATGACGGGTGCTCCTGTCAACGTGGAGGCCAGAAATTTTGAAGGTAAGCGTCAGGTTCTTTGGCAAATGCCTGAACCAAAAGTGATTTCTTTTTCCCCCAAGCATTCATATATATTTTTCCCCGTTAGCAAGATTCATTGAGAAGAGGCCAGGGCTACAAAACTTCCAGCCACTGAACCATTTCACATTTAAAGTCATTCCCCCACCCCACACACACACACACTTGGAGCTTAGGGCAGGGAGCTTTCTGATTTTCCTTCTAGCCGTCTTCTTCTGATCCAGTGAGGATGCAGATAGCAATAGCGCTTAAACTTATATACCGCTTCACAGTGCTTTACAGCCCTCTCTAAGCAATTTACGGAGTCAGCTTATGGCCCCCAACATTCTGATGCCTCATCTCTGATAATACAGAAGCTTGCAGTTGGCTGCCTACATAATGGCTTCCTGAATCCATAGCTCTCTGGGAGCCGACCATGATGTCAAGATGATAAAAGCTTTTGATTTTTCTCAAAACCATTTTCAGCTGGAGTACATTTCAGAGCCTTGTTGGTATAGCGGTTAAGGTATCCGTCTAGAAACCAGCAAAACGTGTGACGTAGTTCTGCCTTAGGTATGAAAGTTGGCTAGATAACTTTGGGCCAGTCGCCAGGAGACTTGAGTTCTTTAGGCAATAGGCATGAACACCAGCTGGGTGACTTTAGGCCAATCCCTAGGAGACTGTGAGTTCTAGTCCCACCTTAGGTACAAAGCCAGTTGCATGACCTTGGGCCGTTCCCTCTCTCCCAACCCCTAGGAAGGAGGCAGTGGCAAACCACTTCCAAAATCCTGTCAAAAAAACCTGCAGGGACTAGTTGCGAATCAAGTTATCAAGAGGAGAGAGAGACAGAGACACAGAGAGACAGACAGAGAGAGAGGCATGCTGTTTGACACATTTTCTATGGTGTTTGTACAGGTCTCACTCCTTTGCACTGTGCCGTCATGGCTCACAACGCTGCCTTCCAGACCCAAAACATGGAGCCCTTGTCCCAACATCACCTGCAGCCCTTACTGCTCTGTATTCAGCGGCTTTTGCAACTTGGTGCTGATTACAAGAGCCAGGTAAGCGATTCATATTATGGGCAAAGTAGACGGATTCCCGGCTCTCCAGGAAGAGTGGCTACAATAGCACCAGAAGGAAAGATGGGGAGGCAAAAGACCAGGCCTTCCACCAGAAGATGGACATCAGTGCAACAGATCTGACTTTCCCTATTTGGAAGCCATCTAAAGAAGCCCCCCCCCTTTAGACCAGGAGTCCCCAACCATGGCAACTTTAAGTCTTAGCGGACCTCAACTCCCAGAATTCAAAGCCAGCTGGGGAATTCTGGAAGTCGAAGTCCACCAGGCTTAAAGTTGCCAAGGTTGGAGACCCCTGCCTTAGACCAAAATGGAAAATTCCCTAGGACCCACCACTGCCTGGGTATCTGACCTTTGTTTTCCTTGGACTTTGGCTAGGACTTGAAGAGCAGTAAAACCATCCTGCATTTGGCTGTTCAGGCTGCAAACCTGCCTTTGGTCCAGTTCCTTCTCAAACTGCCTGGACAAGAACGTCAGAATTTTGTGAACATTAAGGTATGCACTAACTAGGCATTAACATCAAACCTCAACTTTTTTACTTTTACATAATAGTTTACATCAGGGGTCGCCAACTTTTTGGACCTCAGGGACCACCAAACTCTTAATTTTAAATCTACTGATATGAATTTTGACTGACGGTGGCTTGCTGACATTGGTGGGAAAGTCGGTCCCATATTCCAGAGCTGCAGTAGTCACAGGACTGGCCCTTTGGTCATCCCAGAGCAGCTGCTCCTCCACCTGGGTGCACCAGCCTGCCATGGACTGGAGAAGTTGCTCTGGGATGACCAAAGGGCCAGTCCTGTGACTACTGCAGCTCTGGAATATGGGACCGACTTTCCCACCAATGTCAGCAAGCCACCCCAGGGTGGATTTCCATCCCCACCGTTGGTCTTACCTTCCAGTTTCAGCTCGCATGGCTCTACTCAAGGTAAGGTTTGTGCTCGGCTGAAGGGTGGGGGCCAGCAGGTAGACGGGCCACGTGGGCGGTGCAACCTTGTGTTCCTATGCAGCCTGGATTAATTGCTTTGGGGGGACATTTATCTGCGGACCATCAAAATTTTCTCACGGCCCACCAGTGGTCCCCCGCCCACCAGTTGGTGACCACTGGTTTACGTAGTGCTTTGTTCTACTGCACCGAAGGGAGTCAGAAGTCAAAGCCTTTCCTTTTCCCCCCCCTATTCTTTCCCCCACTTTTCTCTTCTCTTTTTCCTTCCCTATCTTTCCTGTTATTTGCTTTTGTATTTTCCTTGTATGCTACATTATAATCTAAGAAAACCATCAATAGCAACTAGGATTCCCCCATTCACAAGCCTTGTCCCCAAGGCTGAGCACAAAGAAGGGTGTGACTGTGTTTTCTTATAGCTTCCAACCTGTGTCTACCGGTAGTCCTCAATTTATGGCCACAATTGGGACCAGAATTTCTGTTGCTAAGCAAGACAGTTGCTCCCAACTTTATAACCTTTTTTTGCCATGGCGGTTAAATAAATCATGTAGTCATTAAGCAAATCTGGCTTCCCCTATTAACTTTGCTTGTGAGAAGCTGGCCGGGGAGGTCACAAATGATGATCACATGACCCCAGGACAATGCAACCATTGTAGACACATGTAAGCAACACATTGTACAGATTGTACACCTTGTAAACACCTTGTAAACACATGTAAGCACCCAAATTTTCATCATGTGACCATGGGGATGCTGTAACAATCATAAGTGCAAGGACCAGTTGTAAGTCACTTGTTTTCCAGTGTCATCGTAACTTTGAACAGATGCTAATGTACATTGAGGACTGTCCGTATAACTGCCATCGGTTAAAGTTAGCACATGTCAATGCTGCAGGTCTTGGAAGCAGCAAGTAAAGAATATCTGCAAGGCATTTGATTTGAGGAAAAATGCACAGAGGGAGAGAGAGAGGGTGGGGGAGAGGGACAGAGGTAGAGAGAGTGGGGGGGAGAAGAGATCAGAAGAGAGAAAGAGAGAACGAGAAGAGGAGAGACAGACACACAGAGAGAAAGAGAGGGGGAGGAGAGAGAGAGAAGGAGGAGAAAGAGAGGGGAGAGAGAGGAGGAGGAGGAGAGGAGAGACAGAAAGACAAAGAGAGGAGGGGGAGAGAGGAGAGGAGGAGAGAGGAGAGGAGGGGGGAGGGAGGAGAGAGACAGAAAGATAGAGAGAGGAGAAGAGGAGGGGGAGAGAGAGGAGATGAGAGAGAGAAAGAGAGCGAGAAGGAGGAGGAGAGAGAGAGAGACAGAGAGGGAGGAAGGAGAGGAGAGGAACAGAAAGATAGAGAGAGAAGAGGAGGGGGGAGAGAGGAGATGAGAGAGAGAAAGAAGGAGGAGAGAGAGAGAGAGACAGAGAGGGAGGGAGGAGAGGAGAGAGACAGACAGAGAGAGCAGACAGAGAGAGCGAGACAGAGAGAGAGACAGAGAGAGAAGAGGAGAAAAAAAGCATGAGAGGAGAGGAGAGGAGGGAGGGAGAGAATGACTGCTGAGGCATGGTGTCTTGGACAAGGTACTTCTCCTTTTAAAAACCATTTGCCTGCTCAGCTGCAAGAGGGGAAAAGAAAGCCTATCTCAACAACATGTGGTGCAGAAGTCAAACAGATGAGAACTGCGTGGGTGGCTTGGCAGTGGTATTCGAGATGCATGAATGAATTTCTCATCTTGCTGTACCTCAAGAGCCGTAACGTTCATGTTGCATATGGAACTGAGACGGGGATGGGAGTCTTTCTCCCTAAAGAAGGTGTGCTATGCAGGTTCACGTTCATCACCCAAATGTCATCACGTAGACTTTTCCAGTGTTTGCCCTGCCTGATCTGCCTCTCTTGATAAGACAACAGGAAGCTGAGCATTGCCTTACGATCAAGGGCCTTTCTCTACCCTCAGGCCCATGGCAACACAGCTCTGCACATGGCCGCTGGTCTACATGGCCATCCCTATCAAGAACAGATTGTCCGCCTCCTGCTAGACCACTGGGCCGATCCCACTGCCCGCAACCCAGAGAACGAGCAGCCCGTTCACCTGTTGACTACAGGACCAGCAGCCGAGCAGGTGAGTTGGGCTTTTGAATGATCCAGGTAGGGCTGGGAACAGGCAAAAGGTGGAAGAGCAACGTGCAGCTTTGACAAACTCTTTTGTCTCCTCTTCTCTCTAGCTGCGTCTTTTGCTACGAAGCCGCCGCTCAGGCCCTGGGTTGGTGTATCCCCCATCCTTCACCTGACAGCCATCCTGGAGAGAGGGAAACCAACCTGTCTCTTTCTCCACCTCGAAGAGCGAGGAAGCATGAATGTCTTCTGTTTCTTTCTTCTCCTTTCTGTCCTCCCCACCACCCCTGATGGAATCTGCTGTCTTCTGCTTGCTATATTTAATTAAGTTATTGGATAAGGATTGGGACACCAGAGTAGCGCAGTGGCCTAGAAGTGAAGCTCTCACCTCACAGTCAGGAGGCTGTGAGTTTGATCCTAGGTAGATATTTCTCTCTCTGGGCACGATGAGAATTTATCTGCTGAACAAAACTCCACATTAGTGACAGGAAGGGCAGCTGGCCATTAAACACTCCACTCCAATCAGTTGCCCAGACTCCACCCCACAAGGGATTACGGGGTCATTAAAAGAAGATGATGATAAAGATTGGGACACCAAGCTGAACCTCATGGCTTTACACCAAAAAGCATCTTCTCCTAGGAGATGTGGGTGCCATGGGTCAGTAGCAGAGATGACCCACTGTAACCATAAACCATCAGTGGAAAGGCCGGGTTTATCTCCTCCATCACGACTGCTTCCACCACAGGCTGATGGCATCCCAGATGCAAACCCACACCACACAATCCCATGAGGTTCCATGTCACCAGCAAGAATGATGTTCTGAGCATCTGGGTCAATTTTCTCCAACCTGGCACCCTCCTGGGTCCGTCCAGGTTGGAATCCATCACTCCACATATTTGAAGAAAACTTGATCTGAATTCTGCATCCAGCTACCTCCCTCATTTGGTCCTCTTGACAGTCTGTACAACCCTCCTTATTCCTTATCCGCTACATTTTAATCATTTCCATGAAATGGATGTTAACTCGAACCATATTGGTTCGCAGAACCCTTGAGCCTTTGTTGTTGTTATTATTCTTGAATCATATTGGTTTGTTGAACCTCTGAACTTTCTTTTACTTGAACCATATTGGTTCATTGATTACTTGGATTGTATCGTAGGGAGTCCAGCTTGAGTGATTACTTAAAGCAAAACCGACAATGCAATTCTATATATGGGTATTCGAGGGGGGGGCAAGGCCAGTTGTATCCAATTGGGCTGGCTCCTCAGAAGTAGATCTAAGACGGAATCCATTTTAGACTAACACCCCCATTGAATCCAGTCAAGAAACAGATCCCTAAGAGGGGGTTTGTGGGGTTTCTTAAGAATGACTCAAGCACGTCAATGTCTAAACGACTCCTGGGAAAAAGTCTCTTTTCACAGCATAGGCATTTGCGGAATGTTATTGTATGTATGTATTTTCATTCAGAATGAAATTGGATTCAATCCAGATTGGTGCAACCTGGAGAATCCAAGGAAGCATTATTTTGTGAGCAGGGCTGGGACTTCTCCTGGAAGTCTTGGCAATGCCCAGCAAATGGAAATTCCCAGGATTTCTCCCAGGGATGGGGATAACATCGTTATTAAGTTGGCGTTAATGACAAGTTAGCCTTTTAAAGGCAGAAGAGTCCTCTTACAGAGGAAGAACCGCTGGCACTGCTATTCCTTATGCCTCCAATTAGCCAGAGGCGAGCAAAGGCAGTTGCACTGTGATCCTTGGTAGTTCAGAAGCATCCTTAAAGGAAAGTGGGTGTGTTCAAAACTGCCAGGATTTCTTTGGAAGTTACTTTTCATTGTGATTATTATTTAGGCTTTGGCCTGCATTGAACCCTGTCACAGCATCTGTGTCCAGACAGCTGTAGCCAGATCTCTGGCTTGCTTTTAAAACCCTACATGGGCCAAAGAAGCAGTCTTGAGCCCTTCTCCGAGACTGCATTTATCTTCCTTCCATTTCGGAAAGCTGTATCTCCACAACGTGGGAAAAAGAATCATTCCCGTTTTTCCTTCTCCAATCCCCAATTCACTTCCTGTCCTCCCCAGTATCTGGTAGGAATTACAGTGAGTCCTCGAGGTTCATTTAGCAACCCAGTTAAAACTAGAAATGGCACTGAAAAAAGTGACTTACAACCGCTCCTCACACTTACGATCATCGCATTTCCCCCCATGGTTATGTGATCGAAATTGGGATGCTTGGCAACCAACGTGCATTTAGAACAATTGCAGCATCCTGGGGTCACGTGACTGCCAGTTTGTGACCTTCCCATCTGGCTTTGTTAAGTGAGTTTTGCCCCATTGATAAGTTGGTCACCTGGTTGTTAAGTGAAGCTGGCTTTTGCATGGATTTTGCTTGTCCGAAGGTTGCAAAAGGGGATCACGTGACCTCTGGACACTGCAAGCATCATAAATAGGAACCAGTGGCCAAGTGATCACATGACTGTGAGGATACTGCAAAGGTCACAACTGTCAGGGTTCCAAGTAATAGATCCATAGCAAGCAAAACTCTAAGGCAGAGGTCTCCAAACTTCGTAACTTTAAGACTTGTGGACTTCAACTCCCAGAATTCTCCAACCAGCATAGCATAGCTGGCTGGAGAATTCTGGGAATTGGTCCACAAGTCTTAAAGTTGCCAAGTTTGGGGACCCCTGATCTAAGGCAAGTAGATTCCTCAAAGAACAGCTTTATTGGAAAGATCACATTGGCACAGAACTGGAGAAACCCGACTCTGAAAACTACCGCGGTTTTCACCTAATTAAAAGTAAGAGTTTTTCTATTTTCTCCAAACAATCAGTCACATGGTCCAATCACGGCGCGGACTGACAGCCACATAGCATCACTCTGCCTTCCTTTGACCAGGTGTGAGAATGTCCTTGGTTCCCAAGAGAAAATTATTTGTTTTGGCTACAGAATCTCCTCTATCACAAATCCCACCCTAACCCTAACTCTAACCCTAACCCTAACCTAACCCTACCTAACCCAACCCTAACCCTAACCCTAACCCTAACCTAACCCTAACCCTCTATCTCAAATCCCACCCTAACCCTAACCCTAACCTAACCCTAACCAAACCCTAACTCTAACCCTAACCCTAACCTAACCCTACCTAACCCAACCCTAACCCTAACCCTAACCCTAACCGAACCCTAACCTAACCCTAACCTAACCCTACCTAACCCAACCCTAACCCTGACCCTAACCCTAACCTAACCCTAACCCTCTATCTCAAATCCCACCCTAACCCTAACCCTAACCTAACCCTACCTAACCCAACCCTAACCCTGACCCTAACCCTAACCTAACCCTAACACTCTATCTCAAATCCCACCCTAACTCTAACCCTAACCCTAACCTCAGCTCAGGTGTGGCAACATGAAGCGTAAAAAAATGGCTTTTGTCAGGTCAGCTTCAGGATTGACAGGAACTGTGAAAAACGGTCGTAAGTCACATTTTTCAGTGCCATTGTAACTTTGAGCGGTCACTTAAATGAACTGTGGCCAGTTGAGGACTACCTCAGCCGACAATGCTTGGTTAGCTTTTCCCTGGGGTTAGTTCTTTACATCTAACGGGTACCCGTAGGAACCCCAGCTCAAGAATGCCAACCCACAATGTGGGTTCATTTAGTAGCCACCTTAATTAAGCCTCCAGTGTGTGACCATCGCCCGGCAATGCAAAGCAGACAAGGTATTTTCGGCCATCGGCATCTGACAGAGGGGGGAGGGCAAGGGATGAAATCATGTCGCGTTGCAAACTCTGCCCTCGGTCGTGATCCCACAACGCCGTTTCGAGAGGGCAGGGTTTGCATCAAGACGCTTTGCTTCATCATTTTAACCTTGTCATGGTTGAGAATAGATGTCTTGTGCTTTCACCCCGTCTGTTTGGGGTCTGCTATGCTCCTATGCATCCCTCTGTGTTCGACATGATGAAAGCTTGCAAGGGTAGACAACTTGACCAGAGGAAAGATCAAGCTGGCTTTACAATGGAACATATGCTATTGGAGCAGAAGTGTAATAAACCTCCTTTTAAAAAACAACAACAACTCTACACTTGTCTCTGGTTTATGGTATCCTTTCCATCCCCGGGCGAGCCATGTGTGGTCTGCCTTCGGCTTATTTATATTTTATGGATTTCTTGCATGTTGAACCTAGCTTTTTAAGCCAAAAGAAAACTCCAGTTTGAGTGGTGGAAATGTCCTTGCCCTGAGGTTTAGCTACAAAAGACAACACACACACACACACACAAGTGAAGGGAGAGGAAGGTTGGGGAAGGGGAGAAAAAACAGCAGCAACAACCCTCAAGCCTAGGTAGCAAGTCTTAAAGTTGCAGCTTTTATTAAACCCAGCTGAGATTAAAACAGTTGAATTAGCCACGCAAAGTAACAGCTGGAGAGGATTTGAAGCATCGGATTCCAGTAGGGAAAAAGGAGAAGGCTAGCCCTTGGCTGTTTTGCCAAACATTTTACACTTGATTTGTAAGAATCCGACCAGCAGTCAAAACAAAGGTGTCACATTATCCTTTGTAGGTTGAGCGCACCATTTTTTTTTTTTTGCAAACCTCAGCAATTGTGTCTCGCTAATCCAGGCTTAGTTATGTTGTGTGAATCCACCCAAAGGCCGCACCGCTGGATTTAGTGTCTCTACATGGATAAGGAACGTAGCATAAAAAGAAGGAATTAAGAGTTGCCAGGAGACAATGCAATTTTGGACGGTGGGTCAAAGAAACACAGAGCAGCTTACTTAGACCAGTTCCCCTTGTTGCTCAAAAGGCAGCTCTGTGTCCAGGGGCAGATAGTTTGCTACCGAGTCATAGATTGGTGCTGTCTTTGTGGAGGCAGCTGGCCATCTTCCAAATCCTTGGTAGACGTGCTAAACACAAGGAATAAGATTTGATAAGATTCCATGTTATTTTTAAAGTATTAAGGTGGAAGGGATGGGATGGGATGGGATAGAACTGGAAATGGAATGGAATGGAATAGGATTTAATATTACATGTCCTAACAGCAGCAACTATTATTTTTGCACAATATTGGAAAAATGAAGTTATTCCACGAGATGAAGAAATAGTCAAGAAAATACTAGATTGTGCAGAAATGGATATTGACATTGAAAAGTAATCAGAAAGAGGATGTAGAATATTATCAAAC